AAAAAAAAAAAAAAGAGGATTATTTTATTTTCTTGACTAATTAAGGTATAAGCTTTAGTACTAAAATTCTGTAATTGTTTTGCAGAGTCTGACTTATTAATTTAAGGATCTTGACACTGAGATTTGTTCCCAAGTAAAGGATATCTCTTTTGCTTCCCACTTGAATAAAGGGAAAGATGGGAGGTGGAGAACCTTCATCAATGGACAGCATATGTAACAACTAGAGTGATTCCAAGCTTATATACCAAGGAAAACAGGTTGGCTTATTAAAGCTTGTTCGGACAAACACAAATAAAGAAGAAAGGGAAATCAACAAAAGTAAAAGCACAAAAATTTGAGTGACGTTACTACTATAGAGTAACAGTTCTAGCTTTACCTTATGTGTTTATCTTCTGAAAAAAAACTGATGAACACTCGTGTAAATTATAAACAAGTTCTAGTACTTGATACAAAATTCAAGGTGACCAAATTGTAGAAGCACACAACTTTTCTTGTGAATCCTTTTTAATCCAATAAAGTTGTTTTCAACTTTCCAAAAAGAAAAAGTTGAAAACTTTTATACTATAGTAACCAAAACCATGGCTGAATAGCTGATCATTCATAGCCAATTATTCTGACTCTTGTTACGAGAAATGTTAGCATAGTTGTAGTCTTGTTGAACAACATTTTGACAATTCAGGCTTCATCTGAAAATCAGATATCCTTCTTTGAATTGTAATGCCGCAAAAGTCAGAAAGTCCACAGCACGATGGTGTTTCATTTCCAAAAAATACAGGGTATTCTACACTGACGTAATATTCGAAGGGTGATAAGAGTTGGGGTATTCTACCTAATTCTAATTCTAGAGATATTAGGAATTCACATATTCGGGGATAAATGGGTCAGTCTATCACTTTGTTGTTACTACTCACAAATTTTATATGCAAGATGGGGCAGTTCTAATCAAGAACAGCTCAAGCTCTTGCCCAGATAGAACATCCCCCGCAACTGTTATTTCTTACTAAGTGCTAGCCCAGGAAATAATAATACTACAAGTTCATCCTAGATGGAAGCTGATCAATATAGTAATTTCGGGGAATAACTAAATGCTTCTAACAAGGGATTTTCTTCATGGTCCCAATTCTGATAAGAAAACGTGAGGATGTTACATATGAACACTAAGATTTGCATGGATATTATTACAGGGAAAATATTGACACTTCAAATATCACACAAACTGCGCATTATATTACTGCAACTTACAAAATGCAGGGAAGAGAATTGTTTTTATTCAATGTTTAATATTAAAATAACTTATCTTTGACTTCACAACCATCATTGCTACTCTGGATAATGAACCAATACTTATTGTGGGCTATCATAATATCTTCTTCATATCTACCACAACCAGCGCCTCCTCAACCAAAAAGAACTCTTGCATTTTCACCCTGATATAACTTAGTGGTGGTACTGCAACTTCTCCTTCGACCAAGCTTTGATGACAATGTATGAGTTGGTGGCAGACGGGCAGCTGCCATTAGGAAAGGAAAATATAACATGTAACTTTAATAAGCTAAACTAACATAATACGATTCGAAGAACTAAATTTTAACATGGTGGGGTCTGATGTTGGCCATTCGTGAGATGTGCTTTGTCACTTTCTGTTGGAGGGTTTCGTAAAAAAATAGTTTTGATTTTTTTAATATAATATTCAGCAGAAGAAAAAAAACAAACATATAACGCCTCTTGTTTCATACTCAAAAGCAAAGATCACCATTAGGTTTACTGCGAGAAACAGACAAAGAGCTAGCCTATATCACTTTAAAAGAATTTGAAAATAGCCGCTCCAATAAAACAACAGTTCTGAGTTTAAACCTTATACAATAATCAATACTGAGAGGATTACATGAATGACCAAGTTAGACTAGAAATGACAAAGGCCCAAGCTCCCAACCTAAAAAACTATCAAACAACTAGCACCTAGCTAGATAGTTAGTACAGTAATATCTTCAACTAGAGCAAGGCATTCTGATATTTTTGAGTTTAGTGCATCGAAGATTGTACAATAGTTTTAAATTTATCATGCAACATAAGCATACTTAGCATGTTTTACATCGTTAAAAAATACAAGTTTCCGATTTCAGTAAGACTGCATTTAACATCGAAACCAAGGACTACCTTTTAAATTTCACTTGTAGAAGGTGGATCCCAAGATAGAAGCTTGGCATTGGATTTGCTCTGAATGGCATGCTCTATCTAAGCTGATTCATAGATGCCTCTCACTCTGAATGGCATGCTCTATCTAAGTGTGACAGGTTACACCGCAGATTCATCTTGATAGATTAAGTATTTCAGGGTCAAGAAATTAAGTAAAAATACATCTTACAAATAAAGGAAAAACATGAAGTTGTAATTAGGCATTTCAAAACAAGAAAAGAAACCAAAACAAGTAAGGGAAAAAGGCCTTTCAAATGATACTGCTTACTGCATCTCCACTTTGAAACAGTTCATATGGAAAGCTTGACCGAAGACATTTTGCTCTCCAAGCACATGCTCGAATACAACACACAGAGTTGCTCTTAACTGTCCAATAATATAGAATTAAACCTCCATATAGATGGGGTTTTCTTTCTTTCACACCCCTATTTGAATCTTTTACAAAAGTATCTCCCAATTAAATCCTTCCACTAAACACTTAAAATAATATGGAGTGCGGACATGCACCCTCCTCACTCTAAAGTATTTTAGAAAAGCATAGAAGGTTTTCTTTGCTATGTTGATTAATTCAAGCAACAAAAACTTAGTTCAAAAGCTAAAAATTACGATTGCTCCCCCCCTCCTCCTTACAAGAAAA